TGTACATGTGTGTTGACTAATCTGGACGCAATTTCTGTTCACATAGCTNTGATGCGACCTTGGCGCCAGAGTCGTTACTGGTCGATGCTAATGCGGACAACGTTGTGATTGCCTTTGACAAGGTACCTCGAGCGGTCCATGCTTCGTTTTTCGTACCGAAAGTGCCCTGGTTTCCCCCCCTTTGATGAGCGCCTGCTTGGATGCACGTCTTCATGCTCACGTTTATGGCAATGACATCCACTTGGTCGCTGGACGCGGTAGGCACCTGCCGTCGACTGGCATCGATTGCGCCATGGTTGGTCAAAGGAGCGGCTGCAGGAGCTGGTGCTGCTCACTCCGCAGACTGCGCGCACGCTCCTCGAGCCGCCCGCGCCCGCCACCCCAGCCACCCCAGCCACCCCAACAACCCCTCTTGAGCCAAAGCCTCGGCCGGTAGCGGCGCCAAACGTTTCAGCGGCGCCCATTGAGCAGCTGGAATTGCCATCTCAGGATACAATCACAACAAGTGAACCAAGTGTTACTGCCCTTGCGTCCGAATCGGCCGCTGCCGTCTCTAAAGCGCCGGCACCCGTGCCGGCGGGGGCACCCGAATCGCGCCAAGATGAGGCTGAGGCTGTGCGAGCACCCCCCGTTGCAAGCCAGCCACCAGTTGCCGCCCCTGCCTCAGCCACTCTGGCACAACTTGGCGGGTAAGTGAAGGCTGCTGTGTGGCATCAGCGAGACCCTGTCTTGTTGGCCAAGTCTCACGTTTGTTGTCATGGCTTCTCTCGTTCTGCTTGTATAGCGGCACACGAAGCTTGCTCTTTGACCTCGATGATTAGATTCGGCTATATCACTTTTTTCTTCCTCCTTTCTCTCGTGCATTGTTTTGACCATGACCTCTGTGGGGTCACCATTTGTCCGGGACAAGTGGTTGGGTACCGTCCTGTTGCCTGAATGGACCGAGCTATCGCGCAATCGAAATCCAAGACAATTCAGTGTGTGTGTGTGTGTGGTGTGTGTGTGTGTGTGTGTGTGTGTGGTCAACAAAAGAAAATTATTTCAAAATTGGAGGTGATCGCGAACAAACGCTTGAGTGTTCAATTTTTTTTTTTTTTTTTGTGGACTGGGGAACACATCTGGCCGGTGGCAAGGATTGTAGTGTGCAGTGCCGGTCAGAGAGACCCAGGGGGATCGAGGCTTCACTGGCAGTTTGCCAAAGTGGATCTTCAAGCACTTTGGTCTGGTTGCTTTTGTTTTCGTGTGTTCGCCATGGATTGCTAGGCCGACGCCGGACATTGGATTGATCACACTCAAAAGAGGGAGAGCGAGAGGGGGGTGGCTGGCCGCCACGTGCTTGCAATCAACACTGGACTGTTGTCGTCATGCCGTTGACCAGTGACGATACGCGTGAGCATGCCGAGAGCACCTCACTGCTCAGCCCTGCCCGGCGTGCCCCGGGCCGGAGTGGTAGTGTGTCACTTGCGCCACAATCGCGCGTGGTTTCTGAGTGGCTGCTCGGCAGCCTGGTGAGCGGGTGGCTGATTGTGGCAGGTGCATTTGCCTTTTTTGAGTGGTGCTGGTTCTCAGCACACTCTCGGGTGTGCCCGACAGGGGGTGTTACCCGCATCGCAGCCATCACCGCAGGCGTATGCACCTGCCTATTTCTTTTTGTCATTCTGCGCCTTGCAGCTCGACGGCGTAGCTATTTGCTATCATCACGCTATCTTCAGCGCTCGGTCTATGTGCGCCATTTGACTTCCGACCACGAAGCGGCTGCTGGTTCAGATGAGGAGTCTGGCTCAGAATTGGCCTGTGACTGCTGGGCCTTTTTTTGTGGTGCGTGAGTGCAGCCTTGGCCATCTCTGAGGCAGAATGACTGATGGAAGACCCACCCTGCTACCACGCTAACAGTCCTTTTGGTTTGTGCATTGTAGGGCCGCGATCCTTGGCTGAAGACACTGAAGACTACGACCAGCGGCCAGAGTACACCGGCAACTTTACCATTGACGAACTTAAGCAACTCGCGCGCAGCCTCGTAGAAGCTGTGGAACTGGGCGACGAGGATGGTGTTTTGGAAATCCTGGAAGAGCTTTCAACTGTGGAGATGACCGTGGATACTTTAAAGGCCTCAAGTAAGTTGACCCGGGGTTGGACCAACGCGTCTAGCGTCGATATCTATCCCATTCATCGATTTTTGCGAGAGTTGACAATGCTAACCGATGGGCACCTATCTCTGCGTAGATTTGGGCGTCCTTGTCAATCGCTTGCGTGGCGAGCGTGCGGGATCAGTGGCGCAAAACTTGATTGAGAAGTGGCGGCACCAGGTGGCGGAGCAGACAAGCCCTCATTCGCCCTCGACTGCCTCTGCAAGCTCTGGCTCACCCACACGTGCGGCAGAGTCCCTGAGTCACTTGAAGGAGCTTAACAAGCGTCTCCGTGCCGCTGCACGTGCAAATGACTTGGTCACGGTGACTGCGCTGATAGACGTCATTAGGGCTGAGCATGCATCACACAATTTGCTCATCAAATCGGGACTGCTGCGTACTCTCAAGGCACTGCGCGAAAGCCGCTTTTTGCTTTCCGAGTCAGCCGAGGATGCACAAGCCTGAGTGTTTTTGAGTCTGATCCAGTGGATCCCATTTTGTTCTTGATTTCTTAGGCTTGTTTTGTGATTGTAATTGCAGTGAGCTGTGGTCTTCTTGTTTGTGTGTGAGCGAGCCGGAAGCGCATATAGATATATCTTGCGCATAGTCGTATGCTTCTTTTTTCCTGCAAGCACTGCTTAAAATTGTTTTGCTTGCCTTTGTCGCGGGAACTGGAGTGCACATGCGGGGGTGGCTCGTAGCAGGGTCGGTCTTGGTTCTGTGACTGGTCTTCAATTGCAGAGGGCAAAGAAAAAAAAAAAAACGATATGAATGAAGTCGCTTAAGTCGGGCAAAACAAAAAATAAAAGGAAATCTTGCATCCGTCTTGGTGAGGCACAACTGTGGATAGGTCGGGCAGGTATTAAACTGAAGCAATAACACGGCACTTGAAAGGCGGCATCGGCACTGATGCGACATGCGCAGGTGGAGGGCTGAAATTACCACACATGAAAACATGACATAATAATATTTCAAATACCCAAAATAACATGGAACCAGCGCGCTTAGCTGTAGAGCAGGTAGCAACGCAAAGGGCTCGAGGTCAAAAACAACGCTCAACGTTGAGACCAGGTTGAGGGCATGTGACTGTACATGCTACCCAATCATTTGCACACCCTTGCCGCAAGAATCCCAGTCTGTTGCTGAGCGCAGACAAATGACGGCTAGAGGGGAGTTGGGAGCTCGACCGTGTTCATGCCAGGGTCAAGAATGCATGTATAGAAACAACATCTTGATCATGTTGATGAGCAAGGGCAGCAGTTTCAGTAGGCCGTTGATTCCATAATAGTGGGCTCTTCTCGTGAAAGGGAAACATGCCCTCGCGTGGGTGAGTGCGTTCCTGCATGCATGGCCGTGCCAACATTGAACCAGTGATCTACATTGATGCACAGACGCCTAAAGTCCCGCAAAATGACGACGGCGAGTTCATCGAGCCAGGGTAACCGCTCTGCATCGCAATTTTCTCTACGAGGCCGGGTGGGGTCAAGAGTTTAGTGGCCGCAAGGCGGCGCGTCGAAACCTTGGGAAAATTCATTTACTCGTGCAGGTCACGACTGGTCATGGTAGATATGAGAGCAGCAAGGGGGTGGTGGTACCTGGTGGCACAGACGAGGTCGTCAATACACTTGACAAGGGCCGTGGCAGAGGTCAGCAACCGAGTGCGGTCGACGGGATGATACATGCTTTCAGTGACGTCGTTGGCTCTGGGCAGAGAACACGTGACATAGAGACATGATTGTTAGAGCGCATCAAGTGGACCAGGCTGGACAGGGGGCGAAACGCGGCTGCAAAACACGAGCAGAACGCCCAGCAAGGAATGTTGTGCAGAGGAAGAGACATACCGAGCTCCAATCGGGCGGGAAGCTGCGACGATGGCATCCATAGAGCCGGTAACGAGCTCATGATCGGACTGCCCTGCCTCCTCAAGGACGGTGCTCATAAGACGATAAGAGAGAAGTTTGCAGGACTTGAGCAAGGTGACAACGTCAGGCAAGATGTTCACTTCCCACGGATCAGCGTCATCAGGCTGGCGTGCAGCAGCCTCCTCCTCCTCATCGCTAAGAAGGGCATGCGTTCACGGTGAGGTGACGCAAAAAGGACATGGTGCGGCCGTAGCAATTGGGTGCATTTACGCAGAATGCAAAGTGGTGGGCTCGGCTGACTCACCTTAACAGAGCGGTGGAGATGTCGGCCCTTTGCCGGTGATGTTGATATATGAAGAAGGCGACAATGCCGAGGCCAATCAGGGCGAATCCACCCAGCACCAGGCCGAGGGCAATGGAGAGCACCTCGGCATTGCTCAGACTCATGCCACCGGTAAGCCCAGGAGCTCAGAATATGTGTGGCACGCGAGAAGATCAGGAATGGCGAGGGGGTGGTAGGGGCTGCAGCCATCCAAAAAAAAAAAAAAGAGGTGGTGCAAGTCTTGCTGGGACAATCAAGGGGCCATTCTGCGGCACCCATTGTGGAGGTCGCGCCGTATCAGGCGAGGCGGGGCTCAGACGGGAGAGAGAGGGAGAGAGACTTTGATGGCGTCAAGAAAAGCGGACAGTGGGGGACGAGGGGGCATAACGTCGGGGGGGGTCAGCAAGCTTTGGTGCAGACAAACCTGCAGCAGGACCATCCGTGTCGGATGCAGAATGGGTCAGCCCAAGGCCATCTCGAGCCGTCAGTTGCTCCGCTTCGAGGGAGGATGGAGGATGGAGGGACCAGAGCGTCAAGAAGAACTGTGATATTGATGTCGGTGAGGCGGAGGCGTCGGGAACAAGGCCAAATGCAGGTGGTGCAGGCGACTGGCCTAAAAAAAAAGGCGCAAATGGAGCAACGTGGAGCAATATGAGCGGCCGACACGCGCTGGCGAGCTCTAAGATCCTCGCATATTGAATGTCACGTCTCGGGGTCAGATCAACGACTCGATTGCTTTGATCAAGGGGGAGAATGCAAGCCCACTGAGGCCTCGGAGCATCGCATCGCGCCCAAGAAGAAGCGTCGCTCAACAGCTTGACGGCGGTGTGTTGCCAGATGGGTTGGCGGATGACATACCAAGAGGCGCGCGTTTTGTCCCAGAACCACCGGCAGAGGTCAAGCCAAGAGCCAACACCAGAAAAGGCCGTACGCGCGTGTACCAGACTCAGACGGGCCAGCAGACCAAACGGCTTGACGTGCGCCCAAGATGATGCCTTGATCCTTGATCCTCCCCCTTGTCAAAATAAATCCCCCGTACTGCCGTTCTCATCAA